GTGAGTGATGAGTTTCTACTGGTGTCAGTAGCGACCTTGTAACTTCTACTGAGCACAACGTGTTCTACTGAGCACAACGTGTCTTTCAGTAGATTCCTCTTGCTTATCCGTGAGTGACGCGCACAATTAACAATATTGGGATTTTCTCTGTGTTGCCTGACGTAACGTTCATGCCTAGGCCGATTTCTGACGACCTGCAAACCTGTTTCTAGTTGCCACTTGCCTGGAACGTTTTTTTTTTCAAGGCGGAACGCTTTTTTTTAAGTGAACCTCTAATCTTAGATTTCCACTCTGTGAGGGAGCTGCAGCTCCCTGAACCAACTCAGAACGGGTGGGTAAACAAAAAGATAGTGCCGCATTCCGCGGGAACAGAATACGTACGACCATTTTATCCTTGCAAACTGTGGATGGAGCATTCGGCAATCAAGCGAAAAATAGGCAACAATTTAAATACCATAATGGCAGAAAAATTGATACTTATCTGTGATTTTTCATAATTGTTATAAATCGAAACACAGACTAACTTATCTGTCCATACTATTTTTTATATCTTTTTAGTTAAGATACGAAAAGGAGCTTCACTATTTATTTTATCTTAACAAGTCTTTCAATTTTAGAAAGAATAAACTAAATTCATTCGCAGCATTGTCTCTATGATATGGATGAATAATTGACGTCTCGGACAAATTTACCGCCGGTCTCGCGGCCGGTGTCTGTCGTGAATTTTGTGCTGTAGTGTTCATATGTACATAGTATTTCGTACCGTATTCCATACCAGTAAGTTACTTTGTTCGAGAACCAATGTCCATCGTCAGAACTGGCTTGGCTCTCTCACTATTAAGATCTTTTAACTGCGGTTCCCATTCTCTGTAAGTATTTTGTAATGTTTTGTTTCACGTGTATTACTTTGCATTTGGATACCTATATATTTGAATTAATGTCGTTCTATTACATATTGTATATTAGTGTTATTTTGTTTCAGAATGTTGCGTTCTTGTTGATTAAAGCTCTACATGAGTCCCCTCGCTTCTCACTTACAACAGTGTCCAAACTCACTGAGCAGGTAATATCTCTCAAACCAATGAACATAGCTCGATAAAACTTGGTACACGTATTCATTAGGATCTAACGGTGATGTTTAGCTCATGAACATTTTTGAAATTTCACCTTAATTCGTGAGTTATATCACTTATATGACGATACGTGCCGAAATTTGCAGTGAGCATGACATTTCTTCTACACTACTGTACAGATTTGAACGAAACTTTGCATATAGAAACCTAACCTCCCAACGGTTATGTTTAGATCGTGACAGTTTTTAGATTTTGCCTTCGATTGCCAGTTTTTTTCCACTTACACCTCATTCGGGATTTAAACAGCAATTTGTGCTTAAATTCGCAGTGAGCATTGAATTTATCCTCAAATACTGAACAGATTTGAACGAAACTTCGTATGTGAATACCTAACCTTCCAACGGTGATGTTTAGCTCGTGACATTTTTTTTCGATTTTGCTTCCGTTTGCGTGTTTTTTCCACTTATACCTCATTCGGGATTTAAACAGCAATTCGTGCTTAAATTCGCAGTAAGCTTGAATTTATCCTCAAATACTGAACAGATTTAAACGAAACTTCGTATGTGAATACCTAACCTTCCAACGGTGATGTTTAGCTCGTGACAATTTTTTTCAATTTTGCTTTCGTTGCCGAGTTATACGTACGGCTTTACGTATATGGCTCTTGGTCAATGCAAGTTTAAAAATCGGCCTGAGAAATGCCGTTCGTTTCTCCGTATATCCGTATAACTTGCAAACGAAAGCAAAATCGAAAAAGTTGTCACGAGCTAAACATCACCGTTGGAAGGTTAGGTATTCACATACGAAGTTTCGTTCAAATCTATTCAGTATTTTAGGAGAAATTCAATGCTCACTGCGAATTTAAGCACGAATTGCTGTTTAAATCATGAATGAGGTGGAAGTGGAAAAAACTCGCAAACGAAAGCAAAATCTAAATAATATGCGTTAAAATTACTTTTTAAAGACAACACTTCTGAAGAATCCAGTGTCTTGGTATTACAAATGTACAAAGAGTTTCTAATTTTTTTGAAATATTAAAAAAAATTATTTACAAAAATTTTTCAGGATATCAAAATTTTGTAAATTTTCAAAATTAATTATTCTGTCATTGATTCATGCATTGTCTCTGACTTTATGCAATTGTGCAAAATTTCAGATCGATTGGACAGGTCAAATTGTGTCATATATGGATTATAAGATTTGTAGCAGACGAAATTATTTATAATTTTTTTAATGAAAAAAATTTTAATTTATAAATTTATTTATTCTGTCAATTGATTCATGCATTGTCTCCAACTTTACGCAAGTGTGCAAAATTTCAGGTGGATTGGACAGGTAGGAGCATGGTAATTCAACCATGGGTAGAAGTGTGTCAAATATCGATAATAAGATTTGTAGCTGACAAAATTATTTTTAATTTTTTAATATTAAAAAAAAAAATAACTTATAAAACCATTTATTCTGTCAATTGATTCATGCATTGTCTCCAATTTTATGCAAGTGTGCCAAATTTCAGATCGATTGGACAGGTAGAAGTGTGTTAAATATTGATTACAATATTTGCAGCAGACAGACAGACAAACAAACAACAAGAAGTGAAGTTAAAGAGAAGTGTTGTAAAAACTGGCATTGAACGCGATCGTGTCCATTTGCAGATGTGAATCAATCAACATAAGCTTAATTGACGTATTTTCTGGTGAAAATTGAATTTTTCTGATGTTTTTACGATCACATCTTTTCATGTGAAAAAATTGACATTTGAGGCAAACCTGTTGTTATTAATCCAGAAAATGATCGCCAGTTTCCGACACAAAAATATGCCGTTATGTGTTTCGTATAGCTACCGCAAATCGGTTAAATTTTCCACGGCCAGGTGCCAATTATTTTGAAAGCTCTCGCCAAAACACATCTGTCATCAATAAATTCCGACTGAACAAGTTCGTAACATTTATAAAAGAAATTAAGTTTGCTGCCACCTTATCAACGTTTAAACAGTTTGCCGCGTATATTTGTCAATGTCGCGGTGAAAAAAAAGGTCAGTATCGATTCATCGAGTATATAGATTATTTGTTAATAAGATGAACTTTGAAGAATACAAAAACTGCTTGTTTTGCAATGATGCATCAACGAACTTTGATGGCCTAGGATCCGCACTTGCCATTGTATACATCAACGCACGTTCATGTATCATTTCTAATAATTATATTATTTAAGGGGACGATAGAGCTTCTATTGAGTACCGCACCGGGTCTTCTTTGATGGAAAGATGTAGCATCAATCATGTTTGGTTGTGGCAGTTGCCTCGGCTTCTATATACTTAGAAATGCTGGTAAAGCTTAGACGCAGCACACGTTTAAAGTTTCAGTTCGATAAATTTATTCAGGATCTTGAAGTAGCACCTCGAAAGTGGCACTTTAAGTGGCTGCTCTTGTACCTAGAGCTCACGTCATCGGTTACGGTTCAATCATTGTTGATCCTCTTCTTCGGAGTTTGACAATTGGACGGTTATAAATAGCTGCGGTGGATAGATTAGCAGCATACCATCGTGATGAAACTTTTATAGCGATAGCTACCCGTGGTACTCTCTCACCTTCTTTAAACTATGACGTCACCTGAGTAAACGATGTTATGAGTTCGTATCCACTTGAAACCGTTGAAAGCTATGCAATAGGTTTTGCATTCCTTAGGCAATTTGCAGGTCCTATTTTGGTCAAAATCGTATTAATGAAGTTTTTGTACTGATGATAGAGCTGGACTCTGATAAGTTTCCACTGCAGACAAAATGAATTTTTCGGCTTTTTCTTTGATTTAAATGCTTAGTTCATATGACAAGTTGCAACGTGTCCGTCATTTCCTAATCTAAAGTAGAATTGACTTTGCATATAAATTAAAAAACAACCCACACTTTATCTAACTATGACAATTTGGAATTTTGGAATTTATGCAGAATTTGTCACAAATTTTCATAAAACATTGAACGAGTATTATTTCATTGAACAAACCTTCATTCCTGCATTTCTTCTAACAACAATTAATGCTCTGAGAGTCCGGCTGAGGAAAGTTTAATTCTCAGCTCGGATTTTTTTTGTAGAAGGCCGTAGACTGATTTTCGGATAGATAAAACATAGAATAAATTTTCATCTAAATGCATCACCTAAATATTGATCGAAAAGAGGGCTAAATAGTTTCCACGTCGATTAAAATGATTGGATGTGCTATACTGATGTTTAAAATGTATTCTAAATTCATGTAAAGAAAAGAGCATTTTTTGCCCTCATGTGATGGTGCCCTCATTTTGATGGTGACTTCAAATCTTAATTCCGCACCAAAGGATGGGCAACTCAGACGTCGTCCACCGCATGTAGATTGGGTCTCTATAAACAAAATTGGCGGAGCCTCACATACACGACATACATACGACATTCACCAGATGCAAACGATCAGTCACATGCAGGCTATATCAATCATACAGGTTATTTTTTCGTCACAAGAAAACGATCACTTTTTCGCCACATGCGATCGATCACTTGTTCGCCACATGTACACGATTGATTATTCGCCATATACATACGATTAATTATTCGCCACAGGCAAGCGATCACTTATTCGCCACGTGTGAGCGATCACCTATTAGCCACATGCACCCGATTAATTATTCGCCATATATATACGATCAACTATTCGCCATGTGCTAGTGATCACTTATTCGCCACGTGCACATGATTTGTTATTCGCCATTTATATACGATCGACTAATCGCCTCCTGCAAACGATCAATTATTCGTCAACTATTCGCCAATCAATCAACTATTCGCCACATACAAACGTACACGTTTAACGATCATTTATCCGTCACTCAGGAACGACCGCAAAAATGCACAGGGAAAAACTGGTAACCCAGTCTGCTTTTCTTACAATTTTAAATTTGATTACACGGGTCTGAAAAAAATCAGAAAATTGTTTTTATTTCTGAAAGGATGACTGTTTATCACTGATTTCATTTTTGGTCACGATAACTTCAATTAATGCCTTGATAGGGCATTAATCTAAATTGAACTCGCATTTTACATTTAATTAAATGTCTATAGCACCTCACTTCCCACCACAATATCGATGAATTTCTTTATAATTTTTAACGACGTCAATATTTTAAGTTTTCCGTTTCCATGTTATGCGATTTATAAAGCGTAGAAGTGCACATCCGGCACTAGTATTAGTGGGTATCAAAATTTGTTAGAAACGAGAAAATAGCTAAATATTTTTAATCATAAAGTGTTAGACAATAATTTACTATCGATGTGTCAAGTGTTCATGGAATAAAATCACGCAGGAAAACAGCGAATAACATCACCATTGCCTGCCAATTATTTGTTAGCGTGAAGTTTTTACGGGAAAATTATAGCAGAAGTATAGCCGCTGTTAAAATGCATTTTTTCGCACGACATTGCCAATCATTAATCGTTAAAATTGAGTCCCAGCAATCATTAGACGTCGACTCAACGTCATTAAAGACATTACGACGTAATCAACCAGCAATCGACGATGTTACAGCGTTAGTGGCGCGGTGGAGCGGATCTACGTAAGTGGAGCGCTCCTCTAGCTTGTAAAGAATTTTGTAAAGAATAAATATATATACATTGGGGGTTTCAAATTAACGAATTTAGCAAGGCAACTTTAATACTGGTGACATTTTACTTGTTATTTTTGGTTTAAAACAGTGGTTCCCAAAGTGGGCGATATCGCCCCTCTAGGGGCGGTGGAAAGATTTTGAGGGGCGGTAAGGAAGAAGAGGGCAGTAGGGGGGGGCGGTAGTCCGAAGTCGAAGTCAGAAGTTCGAACGTTTGTTTGACGACTTGTACACAACAGGTTATCACATGACTCCCAGCGATGGTTTTTTTTCACCCAGATCTGTTTATTAACCTCACATGGTTCACGTCTCGGACAAATTAACGCGGCCGGTCTCACGGCCAATTTCCAAATTCAATGATCAAGGAACATCTTTCAAACTAATAAACTTTGACTCGATGAAATTTAGTACACGTATTCATTACGGCCTAACGGTAATGTTTAGCTCGTGAAATTTTTTTGAATTTTGCCTTCATTTGTTTTTGCCATAACTATATGGCAATACGGGCCGAAATTCACAGTGATCAAGGAATTTCTTCCCAACTGCTGAACAGATTCGAACAAAATTTTTTTATTTACAGTCCTAACTACCGAACGGTAATGTTTAGCTCGTGAGAATTTTTTCGATTTTGCCTTCGTTCCCGCATTTTTTCCCATTTCACTTTCATTCGTGATTTAAACAGCAATACGCGCTTTAATTCGCAGTAATCAAAAAATTTCTTACAAACTACGAACAGATTTAAACGAAACTTAGTATTTAAATATCTAACCTCAGCAACGGTGATGTTTAGCTCATTACAATTTTTTCGATTTTGCCTTCGTTTGCGAGTTATACGGCTATACGTAAACGGCTCTTTGTTAAACCGGCCGGATAGAAAAGCCGGTCGTTTTTCCTATATCTGTATAACTCGCGAACGAAAGCAAAATAGAAAAATTGACACGAGCTAAACATCACCGTTGGGAGGTTGGGTATTTTTGTACAAAGTTTCGTTGAAATCTGGTCAGTAGTTTAGAAGAAATTTCTTGATCGCCGCGAATTTAAGAGGTCTCGGACAAATTTACGGCCGGACCCGCGGCCGGTCTCGCGGCCGAAAGGTTTTCTTAGTGTTTTTATGAGTTTTTCTAGGTTTTTTTGTGTTTTTAATGGAACCTGTTCCTAACTGGACCTAACCTGCGAGGTTTTCGTTGATTGGCTGGGTTTTTTCTATGTTTTTAGTCCGCGAGACCGGCCGCGGGTCCGGCCGTAAATTTGTCCCAGACGTGAATTTTAAGCTACAAATTACCCGGTGATACGGGCAGAATATAAGGTAGTGTGAAATCAAGAATGACGGTGAAATGAAAAAAAAAAACTCGCAAACGAAGGTAAAATAAAAAAAAATTATAAGCTAAAAAATCACCGTTTGGTTGTTAGGAATAAATGTTCAAAATTTCGTTCAAATCTGTTCAGTAGTTTGGAAGAAATTTTTTGATCACTGCGAATTTCGGCCTGTATCGCAATAATGGTGATATTTAAGAAATTTTCACGAGCTAAACATCACCGTTAGGTTCTGATGAATGCATGTTCCAAGTTTTCTTGAGCTGCGTTCATTAGTTTAGGAGATATTACTTGAAATTTGAATTTGGAGACTGATCGTGGGACCGGCCACGAGTCCGGCCGTAAATTTGCCCGAGGCGTCCTAAGGTTCGAGAGCTGAAACAGTTAAAACAGCTGAAAAACATTTTGGTTCACTAAATGGGGTTCTATTTGTGAAATGCGCATTTGTGTTTAACCTTTATTCTTTAAAATTACAGCGTACTAAATTTCAAGAAAGAGGCGTATGTTTTTACATGTGTCTGTGGGGAGCGCTAGAAATTCACTAGGGAGCCAAAGGGGCGCCAGCCTGAAAAAGTTTGGGAACCACTGGTTTAGAATAATAAACTGATGGAATATGAGCCATTAAAATATACGTTTAAAAATTAATTTTTAAAGACAACTCTTCTAAAAAATCCAGTGTCTCCAATGTAAAACATGTACAATGAATTTCTAATTTTAATTTCGAATATTAAAAAAATTAATTTGTTAATTATTTTAATACATAAAAGAAACTAAATTTTCAAAATTATTTATTCTGTCAATTGATTTATGCATTGTCTCCAACTTTACGCAAGTGTGCAAAATTTCAGATTGATAGGATAAGTAGAAGTGTGTTAAATTTCGATTATAAGATTTGTAGCAGACAGACAGACAAACAAGAAGTTAAGTTAAAGAGAAGTGTTGTAATAATAAATAATATACGTTTAAAAATTACTTTTTAAAGACAACACTTCTAAAGAATCCAGTGTCTCCAATGTTAAAGATGTACCGTACAGATAATTTCTTATTTTATTTTCTAATATTAAAAAAATTAATGTTTCAATTTTTTTAATATATAAAAAAATGTTTAAAAATTATTTATTCTGTCAGTTGATTCATGCATTGCCTCCGACTTTGCACAAGTGTGCAAAATTTCAGATTAATTGGACAGGTAAAAATGTGTCAAATATCAGTTATAAGATTTATAGCTGACAAAATTATTTTTTCAATTTTTTAATATTGAAAAAAAAAGTTTAATTATTAAAATCATTTATTTTGTCATTTGATTCTTGCATTGTCTCCAACTTTATGCAAGTGTGTAAAATCTCAAATCAATAGGATAAGTAGAAGTGTGTTAAATTTCGATTATAAGATTTGTAGCAGGCAGGACTGACAGACAAACAAGAAGTGAAGTTAAAGAGAAGTGTTGTAAAATTGTCACGAGCTAATCATCACCGTTAGGAGGTTAGGTTTCTATATACAAAGTTCCGTTCAAATCTGTACAGGAGGTTTGAAGAAATGTCATGCTCACTGCAAAGTTTGGCACGTATTCTCATATAACTCACGAATTAAGGTGAAATTCCAAAAATGTTCACGATCTAAACATCACCGTTAGGTCCTAATGAATACCTGTACCAAGTTTTATCGAGCTACGTTCATTACTTCGGGAGATATTCTCTCAACTGAATTTGGGGAGACCGGCCGCAAGTCTGGCCGTAAATTTGTCCGAGACGTGAATAATTTCAAAAGAATGACATTGATTGTTTGTTGCCATCATCGGCATATTAGCAATTTTTCAATAAAAGAAAATATTATATTATATTATATAAATGCACTATTTTTATCTAATGGAATATCGAGTAGGGCCCAGGGAAGCTAGAATCTGTTTCATTCAAATGAATGCGCAAAACGCGTGGCCGTATAGACAAAATAGCCGGATTGGTTTGTTATGGTCGAATCAGTGGCCGGAGCCCGGAATATTCCTTAGCTCCCAATTCTCTATTTCTCAAAAGAGAGTCCAGTCGCTTCTGTACAGTTGTTGGGAGTGGGTTGTTCCGCGTGTCTCCATGCCGTGAAATTCAATTTCAGCTATCAATTACCGACCGTACATGGCATTCATGACACAAATTCAAAATTTGTATTACTAAGTTATTTATTGTTTTACTTTAGTTGTTGGAGTACCAACTTTAGTAGCTTGTGATTCATTTATATATGATTTTGATAATATGACGTACGCGAGCGAGTTTTCTTAATAAAACCTAATTCTTTGTTGAAGGTAACACGTGGAATTTGTCGCATCAGCATTGCCAGATTTCTGCCCTGAAATTCCTCCTTTGATGTTAGGAATCCACTCGATTATCAAGGCGATGGTAAGTTTTTAGCAAATATGATTTATCGCATCCCACTTTTCAGAGGACATCTTTCTCGTGTGTTATAGACATTATCTGTTTGTGAAACATTACACTTTTCCCTTTGTTTTTTAGACTGTACTATGTTTAGAAAGCGTTTTGCTTAGTTGAAACTACGTGAAAAATCGCTTTACCCCTATTCCTAAAATGATAGATATTTCTGTGTAAATTCATTTTTCAATTCTATCAATGCAAGTGAATAACAATGTTTGCCCGCATTTCCTTCTATACAAAAAGTTAACATCGACTTATGTAATTATTAAACGTTTTATGATTTTCACATTTTAATTTTACCGAACATATATGCGGTAAACAAACGACTCAGTCGAACAAGGCGAACTGTTTAACGATGCTTAGGCTATCGATTTTTCGATTGGCCAATCATAAATTTCCTAACTACCAAACCCTGTTAAACGCGCACGTGGAACCAGAACTCCCTCCTGTCGGTGGTAGGTAATTCTATTACATAGGCTATGACCCGACTAGCTGCTAGGCTATCATTCGCCTACATTTTTTATGATCCAACCAACCGCAAGTCGGTACCTGCCGTCGGCATCAGCACTGTGCTCCTAAAATAACTCAAGTTTAAATATAAACTTGGTGTACCAAGTCGAAGATTTCATTTAGTCAGCTAGAGGAAAATTTAACAGTATGGATATGTATACCAATAGAAATGCAAATTTCTTCAAATTTTCAAGACCGGGAAGAATATATTTAAGCTACTCCCAGCAGCATTGGCTTTAGGATTTCAAATAATTATAGGAAATCATTGTGAGGTCATAACTAACTAAATTCATGCTTTAGAGTTTAGACCAAGCCCGCCTCGTAGACGTGGCAACGTATTTTTCGAGTTGCGGCGTCATCTACTGATCTGTAATAGCGTCATGAAATAGAGTATATTCACGATAGTTAGATCTTGAAGGTCGACATTCAAAGTTCTCGTATTTAACTTTTGGCCATTAATCTCCTATCAAATTAATTTGACCCATCCGGTGTCTTAAATGGCACATCCAGCTGAAAATAAAATTTACAGCCATGGAAAATTTACAGTGGCCTAACTGCCGATTGAAGTTTGGCTGCAATTAAATAAGATGTGTGTATATTGGATACGCTGTAAACTGATGCCCTTTATGTAGAATAGTTCCATAGGAACGACAACGAAAAAGCTTGCTGTGGTGTAGCAAGAATAAGAATTAGTTTGCTTAGCAGCCTGCACCTAAATTAGGCCTAAGTGGCTGATATTAGAACTTACTGATTTTAGTGTCATTAAAATTGTAATGAATTATCTTCGCAATCAATTAGAAAGCATTTGTTGATAAATAAATAATTTCTTTGGCAGTTCGAGAAGCACGGATCACATCCAGACCCGGTGATCACGATGGACTTGAGAAGAAACGGTTCCTCTGCCGTCGAAATTTTACCTTTCAACTCAACGACCTTCATCGTCCCCGACAACCTCGTCCCTGTGTTTCCTGAAACTAATCCCGAAATGACGGAGAGCTGTCGTCTGATCAATTCTGACAATTCAGTAAGCAGTCTCGTGCCAAATTCCGATCTGCCATCACGGAGGGAGAATGATTTTGTGTCGTTAAATTACGATCATCCTGTGCCAAGCTGTGATCAACCAACCTGTAGTCCCGTGCCAAGTTGTGATCATCGTATAGACTGCGCCGTGGAAAATTCTTCTACCCCTTTCAGAAGCCCTGCATCTGTCTCAATTCGCTCGTTCAGCTCTATGGCACGTATAAAGTTCAACGAAATTGGACGTTTCGAAAGAGGCAATCCAAATGAAAAGCATGGACCGCGTGATGGCAGTACCAGTTTGGCCTTCGCCACATTCGATAATTCAAAAGAAGCTGATGCTTCCGCAGTTGACTGCAATTTGAAAATAAACGAACACAACAAACCAGGACTTAAAATGAAGAATTATAAGAAAAATCAGTGGCTATATGCTTTCAGAAAGTTTTTTTGTGTACGAAATACTGAAGAATCGGGCAAGCCTGTAACGCTCAAAATGGTATCAAAAGATCATGAACATTTTTGTCATGGGCATTGCAGCCTTGATGCCTCAAATACTAAGAGAATGTCATTATCTCAACTCATCCGACATAATAGAAGAATGGAATTTGAAGAAGCAAGAAAAAACGTCGAACGTGCTTTCGGAGAAACTGATTCTGTGGACGGGCAGCGCTCTTCACAAACACTGATCGATATTTCTTCTGATAGTGAGAGGAATTCCCCAAGTTCATCGGCGATGCCACAAATTTCGTCTACAGCACTCACTCCATCACACCCATCTGAAAATAATGATCCTGCTACAAACTTGGAAGCGCTCGAGAAAAGCGACCCTAACGTTAGTTGCCAAAGATGTGGTGTCAGAAGGTTGTCGGGGTTTGAACATTCACAACCATCGACGTCTGAATGCATGAAGAACATTGTTGACTTAGAAAGACAAACAAACTATTCCGACACGAATTTTTTATCAAGTGTCAGCAGCGGCATTCAAGATCGCTCCATGGTGCTATTGGAATCAGCAGTAGACGAGTCCTTGCATGAAAATGTGGCTTCTGTGGGTTCATTAGGCAGTTTAAACTTGACATGTGACGGCACTCCACGCGTGCCACGCTGTGTCAAATCAAATATTCGGGCGTCAAGCTATTCTTCGTTATCGAAGCCAACCCACTTACACGAAGCCTCGAAATGTGTGCAGCTATCAGAATCTACCTCAAGCTTTCCTTTGTGTGATTCTGAACGGTCGACCGAGCACCACGAAGACAGCGGACAAGAAGATAGAATTTATTATGTTTTAAAATATAATCCGTCCTCGCAACTCTCGTCCGAAGCTTCAGGAGAATATGAGCACTTCTCTGCAATAGAAGGACTATTTAGCTCCCAAAGCGACGCGGGCATGTTTTTCTGCTCGTCAAGGGACTCCTTACGCGAGGTTGAGGGCGATGCCAACGAGCAAAATAGTCTTGAGAAAAAATTCGTTGCTAAGCCAACAGACCTCGACGCGGCACAACTGGAACACGAAAAGGTACTTGTGCCCATTCAATGCTGGCAGGACCGACAAAAATTAATCGCAGACTATGCGAATAATGGGGTTTGTGCTTCTTCTCCACTTTCAGTCGTGCAAAATAGAATAATGGAATTTGACAGTATTGAATAATTAAATGATGTGAATATTGCAAACGGATACTCAAAAGAAAAATACAATCAAGTATTTGTTAACAATAACCTCTCCGATACGATTCAAACCAACAGTCGAGATATATATACCCAAGAATCAAGCTTTGAGACTTCAATCAAAAGCGCAAGAGACGATGCTTTTGCTTGCCAGCCATGATTTTGCCGTAGCATTGACTCGGACTTTTGAAAAAAATATCATGTTTTGATTTGACATTAATTGGTATTATAATTTTTTCGTGTATTTAAATGCGTTACTTGAAATGAACTGTACTTGAATGCGTTACCGAAAATGATTGATTGTCTTAATGTCACTCATGGTCGAATCAGCCGTTTTGATGTTCTCAGAAAATTATTTCTTGTATTTTAATAATTGTTGCCTGACAAAATCAGTTATTACTTCAGACTGTTTGCTGGTCACAACGACGTTTTCGATTGTATTGCATTTTTTAACTCAACATTTCTATTACCCTTCCAGCAGAAGAGTGTCAGCCGCTAATTTCGAAGGAATTGGAGATGCTCATCCGTAATAACAATGCACTATTTTTATTATTGAAATAAGTTCAAAGCGATCAGTAATTTTTTGTACTATCTTATCTGCATTTCACAGATGTCAAATCAACTTGATAATATCAATGACAGAGATAAAATTTGAGCTCAATTAGTTGTTTTTCTTCCCTACTAATACTTATTTTAGAATCATTTTACCATGACTTGTAACATATAATTATGTTAATTATGTCGTCGCCGACAGTCACGGGAGAGGGAAGACAATTAAATAGTGGAAATCATGTATATAAATCCAGTTCTGTAAATAAAGTAAAAAGTTTATTCATACAATTCAAGATGGAAGTGCACAAAAAGTTTTGAAATGTTTCTACACTAACTCTGATTCCGTTTTGAACAAAAGAAATGAACTGTTAACTGTGATCGGAAACGAGTGTATAGACATTATTTGTATTACAGAGACACTCCCCAAAAATCACGGGGGGGGGGGAATTTTACCAGTCGAATTTCAGTTGCCAGGTTTTGATTGCTTTCATAATTTAAACGAAGAGCAGTGTAGTAGAGGTGTAGCTCTGTGGGTTAGAACCTTTTGTGTGGCCCAACAAGTGAAGTTATCAGCAGAGCACCAGTCAGCTAGAGAATCAGTGTGGTGTGGGCTTTCTTTAAAAAGCAGGAATAGCCTCCTTATAGGTGTCCTGTATAGATCACCCAACAGTTCCTCTGATAACGATCAAGTACTGAACAGTCTTCTACCAAGCATGACTTTCAGCAGGTCGCATACATTAATCGTTGGTGACTTTAACCATCCAGAAATAGACTGGGCACATGAATCCTCTCCAAGGGATGAGAATCACCCGTCATCCTTGTTCATGGAGTCTGTGAGAGACTCATTTTTATACCAGCATATCACAAAGCCAACCCATTTTAGAGGTAATCAGACTTCAAATACTCTAGACCTAGTGTTTACTAGTGAAGAATCAATGGTAGAAAAGCTTCGCCACGAGGCTCCGTTGGGCAAAAGTCACCACCAGTCATTGTTTTTCAGTATTAAGTGCTATACAGAAAAGACGCCTCGGAAGCGTGAACATTTCAACTTTGCGAAAGGCGACTATGTTAAACTTCATGAATCAGTGAGGGCAGCGAACATTTCGGACTGTATCATGAACATGAATATGGCGGAGTCTTGGTCATTCATCAAGAACATAGTTATGTCTGCAGTTGATGCCAGTGGTACCTAAGATAAAGCTCGGTGGAGTCAGAAAAACACAGTGGATGAACAATACGGTTAAAGCAAAGCTAAAAGCAAAGAAGGAAGCCTACAAGCGCTATTTACGAACTCGTAGCGATGCTGAGTATAACCTGTATGCAAGAGCTCGAAATCAAGCTAAAAAAGCTTGTCGCACCGCAGTCAAAATTTTTGAAAAAGACGTTGCCAAAAACTCGAAAAAGAACCCGAAAGCCTTCTTCTTGTATGCTAGTTCGAAGTATAAGACAAGGGACGAACGGTATTGCTGATTTGAATGTAAATCAAAGGAAGATATCTTCTGACGAGGGTAAGGCCAATGTTCTAAATCAGTTCTTTAGCAGCGTCTTCGCAGATGAGGACTTGAACAGCATTCCAGCTATTGAGGAGCGACCAGTGGACTCGAAGTTAACTAGTTTCGAGATACATGAAGAGGAGGTTCTCAAGCGCCTGGTCTCCCTGAATCCCAACAAGTCATCTGGATCAGACGGTTTCCACCCTAGATTGCTCAACGAATTAGCAACCGTCCTGGCCGTCCCTTTAACAGTATTCTTTCGAAAAACCTTAATCGAAGGGACTTTGCCGGCCGACTGGAAAGAAGCCCAAGTGACACCCCTGTTCAAAAAAGGTGACAGGAGTAACCCAGGTAACTACCGTCCTGTAAGTCTCACAAGTGTTGTGTGTAAGGTGATGGAATCGGTTATGAGGGATAGGATTATAGATCACTTGGCTGTTAACCATCTTCTATCAGACTGCCAGCATGGCTTTATTGCTGGCAGATCATGCACCACTAATCTCCTGTCTACCTTGAATAATCGGACTCGCCTGCTGGACGAGAGGGTGCCAGTGGATGAATTGTACCTCGATTTTGCCAAGGCATTTGATAGTGTTCCGCATGAGCGACTGTTACGTAAAGTGAATTATTTGGGAATGGAGGGAAATGTACTCCAATGGATCAGGAATTTCCTAGTAGGCAGAAGACAACGTGTTAGCATTAACGGAACCGTATCAGACTGGGTAACTGTGCGCAGTGGCGTACCGCAAGGAAGCGTTCTTGGACCTCTTTTGTTCGTCGCTTTTATAAACGATCTACCAGAAGTAGTGTCAAGCGTGTGCTCCATGTATGCCGATGACACAAAAGTTTATAATACAGTTAAGGATGCGTCAAATAAAATGCAACTGCAAAATTATCTTGATAGTTTAGTTGACTGGGCTGATGCATGGCAGCTGCGTTTCAATGCTGATAAGTGTAAAGTACTTCACCTCGGCAAGAACAATGAACAGCAAGCTTACAGCATGAGAAGACACGGTTGCAACGAGAGGGTTATGATTGAGAAGTCTTGCGTGGAAAAAGATCTTGGAGTTTGTGCCGACAAGGAGCTAAAATTTTATAGGCATATAGAAACGCAAGTTAATACATCCAATAAACTGCTTGGGCTGATCAGACGCTCCTACGAGTACGGTACCTAGATATAGAAATGATGAAGCTGTTGTTCACCTCTGTCGTGCGCCCGAACCTAGAGTTTGGAAACGCTGTGTGGTCACCGAGACTTGAAAAGGACAAAAATTTAGTTGAGAGTGTTCAAAGACGTGCAACAAGGATAATCCCAGGATTAAAGGGCAAGTCTTATGAAGAAAGATTGAAGATTATGAAGCTTCCCAGTCTGCGTTATCGTCGCCTGCGTGGTGACCTCATTGAAGTACCTATACACGTATACTCATGGTTTGTACAAGGTCCCAGAAGGATTACTAGAATTTGAAACAAGAACCAACACCAGGGGCCACAGCTATAAACTAAAAAAAAACAGCGGTGCAACTTATCCACGCGACAACATTTCTTCTCGCTTCGAGTCACTGACATGTGGAACAGCCTCCCTGAAGATATTGTTGATGCTCCGAGTATGAACGCGTTCAAGAACAGACTAGACAAGGCCATGCATGAGCATATGTTTAGTCTTAAAATGCCTCGTACCCTACGGAACAAGAACAACTGATATCTAGAAGCTATTTTAAATCTACCGTCCGTTGAAAAGATCTGATCAAAAGGCCAGTTTAGTCAAGAAAAGCACAAGAATCGGCGACAGGCCTATCCAGGCCTATTTTAAGTGCCGAAGATACTATACTATACTATATGTTATTACGCTTATATTTATCATTATCCTATCAATTCGGAAGATCACCTTCAGACGTATGATTTACTCAGTTTAATAAGCCCTCAGTGTTTCGTTTCAAATCTGTGGTCCAGAACGCTGTTCTTGTGACCTGCTTTGATAGTTAAATAGTTTGTGCTACTTTTGAAAAGACATCTGATGTAGGAAGGCAGGTCACGTTTCAGAAATTGTCTCTAACCGTCGTGAGTCTCCCACGCCGTCTGTGATTAATACTACACACATTTTAAAATAAATTTTCAATTAACCTATCCAGAATACTAGTGTAAACACTAAATTAACATTTTATTTCGCTCTCGGCTGCGTTTGAACTTTTTGGCTATCGAGAGACGTGCTCGATGTGAAATTATGTGAAAAGTACGGCTTCCATCCTTGGATATTCAGTTTACTCTAGTCCTAGTCTCGCATCGCTAATGTGTTATGAAGTTCGTTCAATGGATATCCCGCCTCCTCGAGAAGCTAAACATGGCTAAACAGGCCATGGGCCTATTTCTTCAACGCCGACACTTCTATTCTATTCTATAAAGCTGCGGTTTAATGCTGACAAGTGTAGAGTAGTATTGTTCTTCACCTCGGGAAGAACAATGAGCAGCAAGATTACAGTATGAGAAGACATGGTTACAAAGAGACAGTAATGATTGAAAAGTCTAGTGTGGAAAAAGATCTCGGAGTTTATGTCGACAAGGAGCTGAAATTTTCTAAGCATTTTGAAACGAAAGTTAATACATCCAAAAAAACTTCTTGGTCTAATCAGACGCTCATACGAGTTCCTAGATGCAGAAGCGATGAAGCAGTTGTTTGTTGCTGACGTGCGCCCGAATCTAGAGTTTGGCTATCGAGAGACTTGCAGGTCTCCGAAGGATTACTAGAATTTGAAAATAGAACCAACACCAGGGGCCACGGATATAAACTAAAAAAAAAACTGCGCTGAAACTTGTCCACGCGACAACATTTCTTTTCGCTTCGTTCATGTGGAACAGCCTCCCCGACGACATCGTTGGCGCTCCGAGTATGAACGCGTTCAAGAACAGACTACGTAGATAAAACTATGGAAAAATATATGTTCAGACTTGAAAGGCCTAGCACCATATCGAACCCGGTGGAAGTCTGGTATCTACTTCAAAGTTCAAACTATCGTCAGTCTTGAAAAGATCCGATCAAATGACACGATTTTAGATCTTTAAAATTTATCACTATGGAGCAGTATGAACATACTTAAAACATATATATGAATTATAAACTCGAAAAATGTAATAATGTTAAATCAGTTATCAAATTCATGAAATAAGTTTTGCATTGAAAACTTGGTCGTCACCACCGAGGCTTTCATGGCAATTGTCGCTCAACGTTTATTAGAAAATTAGCGGAAGTGATGTTCTTCGTTGCGGTCATAAGGAATGTTCCCTCAACTTGGCCGGAACGGATTATGAGCTTGACAAATGACAATGTAGGCTACGGACACTACTCAGACTTCTGTCTTCTGTTTGTGCCCATCTTTGACAAGCGTTTAGATAACCAGATCTGCCGCTATACATTTTTTTTACTTTTTTCTCTTCGAATTATTTAGATCTTACTCTGATTGCTGGGACTAGGTAGTAGGTACGAGGAATTGGCTGGGCAGACGGCAGATACTGTGATACAGAGAATCAGAGATACAACCGAACCGACGGAACCGTAAATGATAGATAAATCCTGGGCCAGTTGGCACTGGCCGTTTGTGACTCTGTGGCAGATGATTCATGC